AAAACCAAAGAATAAAGAGGTCATTGAGGTGAAGTGGATTTACAAAATAAAGTTTAATCCGAATGGTTCAATTCAAAAAAATAAAGTAAGACTTGTAGTAAAGGGGTATTCACAATAAACCAGTGTCGATTACCAAGAGACTTTTGCTCCGGTTGCTCAACTTGATACAATAAGACTTCTTATTGCTCTTGCTTCACAAAGGAGCTGATTTCTTCATCAATTAGATGTAAAATCAGCATTCTTGAATGGTGCATTGAAAGAAAAATTTTATGTATAGAACAATCTCAAGGCTTTGGTGAAGAAAGAAAAGTATACAAGCTGAAAAAGGCTTTATACGGGCTGAAACAAGCACCTTGAGCATGGTATAGTGAGATTGATTCCTATTTCAATGCAAAGGGATTCAAAGAAGTAAGAGTGAGTCAACCTTGTACATCAAAATGCAAGGTAATACCAATATTCTCATTGTGTCTTTTTATGTTGATGACTTGATTTTTACCGAGAATGACCAAAAAATAATTGAAGAATTTAAAAGTGAGATGATGAAAAGATATGAAATGAGTGATTCAAGACTTCTATATTACTTCTTGGGCATTGAAATTTATCAACAAGAAGATGGAGTTTTTATTTGCCAAAGGAAATATGCAAAAAATCTTCTTGAAAAATTTAGAATGAAAAATTATAAACCGGTGGTTACACCTTTGATTGTGAATGAAAAGTTGTTAAAAGATTATGGAACTAAAGAAGTTGAAGCATCTTTTTATAGTAGCTTAGTTGGAAGTCTTTTGTACTTGACAGCTACAAGGTATGCTACAAGTTTATTATCTAGGTTTTTGCACAAATCAAACCAAATTCATTTTGGAGAAACGAAGAGAGTATTAAGATATATTCAAGGAACACTTGATTTTGGGATTATGTTTGGAAGAAAAGTAGATGTCAAGTTACTTGGATTTTGCAATAGTGATTGGGCCAGCACATTGACGATATGAAGAGCACTTCGGGCCATGCATTCTCACCTAATTCCGGTGTAATTTCATGGGTGTCAAAGAAGCAACCTAGTGTGACACAATCATTAACTGAAGCTAAACATATTTCAACACCATTGACTACTTCTCAAGCAATTTGGTTAAGAAGAATCATGGAAGATATTGGTGAAAAGTAAGGTGAAACAACTACAATTTTATGCGATAATAAATCAGCTATCATCATGACAAAAAATCTCATCTATTATAGCCGAACTAAGTACATTGCAATCAAACATCACTTTATTTGAGAAGTCGTAGAAGATGAAGAGATTCAAGTCAAATAGTGCAAAACTGAAGATCAAGTGAGGTGTTAAAAATAGAATACTAGATAATACTTTGTTGTTAAGTGTATTTAGTTGACTATGAAATACAAGTGGTTATGTCTTGGGTCTTGTTATATGGTTAGTGGTCTAGGAAATTGAGTAGCCAAAATATATCTTGCAACTTATATGTATGTTGAAAATATAGAATACATGTATAAAAAATTATTCCAAAAAACTAAGTTACATTATCTTTGTTTTATCTATCACAAATATACAAATGCTGAAATTATAGCCAATAGAAAAACACTCGTTTAAACTTCAGTTAGTGCACAAAAATCTTGAGAATACAAAATTTTACCTGCAACTCAAAAGACGGGAGGCTTTGTTTTTCAAGGTTATCAAATTGCAGACTGTGTCTTCCGATAACTTGTTTCATACTTCAAAAAACAAAAGGATGACACAATCAGTTCTCCAAGCCAATAAAATAATAAAGGCATTTCAGATAAACATCAATATAGACCAATCCAATAATGAAATTTTTATGGCCTACGCCGGATGCATTTAATTTCTCTCCTCAACTATAAAAAACGATGCATTGTAAGCTCCACATAAGGATTGACATTGGAATCCTTTAGAATTTTCCTTACAACTCTAATGCATGAAGCTTTAGCAGAAACCACATAACTAAAGAATTTGAAACTCAAATGAAATACCATCATGATTTTTGCAGACTTTAATTTCTCTTCTTAATTCTTTAAGATCAATTCCTCATAAGACTCCTACAATATATGTGGAGTTTACTAATTCCTTAGTCCCCATAAACTTGTGGCAACAATGAAACTAACTCTCAAGGACATTCCTAAGTTAAATAACTAAGGGACCTTCTACTAAAAGGTTCAGCAGGTGCATTTTGTCTATACTGTAGTTAACAAAAACTCATCTGATAATAAATTTCACTTCTGAGGATATTCTCTGGTTTCTATATTTGTCACTGTCTTAATGATAACTATGGAGTTTGTTATCGCTTGAACATCCAACGTGAAGTCAGTTGGATAGATTTTGAGGGAGAATTAAGTTGTTCATCTTTGACTTGGTCAATTCTGATCAAGCTCAAACTGTGTGCCTAAACTTAAGTAGCAAGTTCAACCTTTAGATCGTACTAAATGCTGAACTCAAGTTCATTCACACTATGTTAGGTAGCACAAACTACCACAAAGAATAAAATAAGTTCCAAATCCTGTTAGTTTTATTTCATTACTTCAGTTATTAGTTACATAAACTTCTTATACAATTTGGCTAGTTTTCATGGAAAACTATGGAAATAGAATTGCATTACAACAATGTCAATCATACGCGAGTCTGCTTAACTTACACCATGGTCAGTCTTAGCTTTAAGGTGAAGTATCATTCACTCCGTTGCTTCAAGAAAATGATTTTAACGATTAGAGGGTAATTCAAGGAGAGAAGAGAGAGAGAAGGAAAAAGAAAAAGGGGGAAATTATTACTACCGCTTTGATGCAATTGAATGATTTTTTTGTTTAATGCAAACATCCATTTATATAGAAGGCCCTGTATAGTCTTCTAGGAAAACATCCAACTAGGAAGAGAGGAATAAGAAACAACTCAAATATGAAAGCATAAGTAACTTCTTTGATATTGAAATAGGGATTTCAAGGGCAACAGTTTCCTTGAAGATCAAACAAACAAATAAAACAATGATTAAAACATGAAGATTAGGGAAAACTTCTAAAAAGTATTTCACTTGAAATCTCCATTGACAGCCATTAACAAGTAAAGGCCCCAAAGATAAGGGGAAAAAAAGGAAGTAAAGAGAACGATTAAGTACTCATAGACCAAGTATAAATAATAATAAAAAACAATGTAAATTATACGAAAAAGATGACGGTGAGAGAAGTCTCTTAGAATAAAAACTATGACAACTATAGCTAATTTTAAGTGGTTAGTAAAAGCTTAAGCCAATAGAGTATTGTGGCTACTAGATTCTTTTATCATTAACATGCCCTCTTGTACGTATTAGGGGTAGGAAAAAAAAAAAAACAAAACATGCCTTCTTGCCCTTTTCTTCATCACCGCATGCCTAGCTCCTCTCTCGACTATGAATCTAAGATAAATTACTAATGTTATTGCAACTTACAAGGTAGACAATCCAATTATTCAGGCTTGCATCACTCATACAGTAGGACTTGGTTAACCATTAATTCTTCAATTTTGTTGTGTGAAGTCAAATTTCCATAGTGAATTGTTTGCATCAAGTGCTTCCATTAGGTCCTTCTTATTTGGTAATAAAGAATTTTTTATGTTGAAAAAAATGGGCTCCTTCTATGTGGGTAGCATCTATTTTATGACCATGAATATGGAAATTATATGTTAGAACTCTTGATAATATAGAATGCAAAAATTTTAAGTTAAACACGAATAATTAAGAGAACATATGCAATGAATTTTAGTAAAACACAAGAGGAGATGAGGGATATCGAAATTGAAAGCTAGCAACAGCGTGATACTGACTATTAATGCAATCTTGCACTTAAAATGATGCAATAATTGCTGGAAATGAGAAATATAGTCAATCAATTTACCAAATATACTTTATGGTACAAAATTTTAGGTACATCAAGATGAATAAAATATATAAATTATAAAAAATAAATTAAAGTCACATATTTCTTGTCCTCCCAGAAAGTGGAAGGGGTAACTCCTTACTCTTTTGGATTGCGAGAGTATTCTCTTCCAAATGATATCTCGAATATCTCTCTAGCTAGGGAGGCTTAGGTCATGCCCTGAACTATGTTGTATATCTAACATAGTTTATAAAATATTATAGGTTAAGCACATGCATTTTTCGTTTAGATCACTGCCCTTTTACTAGGAAGTGTCATGTTTCCCTCTACATTTCCCTTTATTTTTTCCTATTGTATGAAACATCTTACAATTCTTTCCTTCGATTTTTCCAATTTATAGTAGAGGGTGGGGGACGAAGGGTGCTCTTATCTTGTGAATCCTTTGTTTTCAGAGCAAAGAAGATGAGCATATGATTATACATTTTGACCCCCCCAAAAAAAACACCAACCAAGAGCTAGACTGACCATTTTAAACAACAGTAGCTCCAGAAATTTGTCGTTAACTGGTAATGAAATAGAACCCTAATTTCTTTGTTTTTTTTTTTTGGTACTGAAATAGAACCCTAATTTCAATCAATAAATTCTGAGAGTGCAACTGCACTACTCTCTCTCTCTCTCTCACCCACACACACAGACAAACCCAAAAAAAAAAAACAATCAAAGAGAGAAAAACTCAAGAATATAGGACAGAAAGGGCATGGAACAGTATACTCACGCGCCATTGTTTTGTTTTCCCACTTCATCTTGGTTCATATGACATCTTGGAACACTCTCTCTCTCTCTCTCTCTCCCCCCCCCCCCCTCCCCGGGAATAGTATCCATCTTACACAAAAGGTTATTGAGGTTTTTTTTTGGGATTGTAAGTTGATTTCTATTAACCAAAATGATATGTATACATGGTATACCCCCATTTTTACATCTGCAGACAAAACCCAAAGAAAAGAAAGTATCTATAGTGACTCTACTTCATAGCAAAAAGAAATTACAGCAACATGAACACCAGAATCAGGCTTTCTGTCTGAACAAATATATGTAATATATGCATAGACAGAGACCGAGAGAGAGAGACATACCTTGAGCTGGCATAGTCGAAGATTTTTCCAGTTGCAGAGAAGACAATGAGAGCTATTTCGGCATCACAGAGAACTGAGAGCTCTTTAGCTTTCTTGAAAAGCCCTTTTCGTCTCTTTGAGAAGGTCACCTGCCTGGCAGTCAAGTTGTCGATCCTCCTGATCTCAACCCTTTGCCTCACCATTTTCACTACCTGAAAAATTTCGAAAAATCAACCAAAATCTCAGCCCAAAAGTGACGCAAAGTTGCAGAAATTTGTGGGGTTTTTAGAGAGCAAGAACAAGAAGAACCACACATTTTTGTTGACTAAACCAAAAATCTGAAACCATCCCTTCAATCTAATTGAGTGTCGGTGCATTTCTACATATCAAAAGAGAGAATATTTCTATCAGGAGAGCATATATACAGTACCAAATTGCACAATGGGAGGTATGACCGTATGTGGATTGATAAGATTTTCTTGAAATTGCCTTTTCTGGGTTCTTTTCTTAGTGCTTTTCGGAGGACCCAGACCACCAAATATGACGCCACCCACAGATCAGACTTTGTTCAAGTGGTACATAATTCCATTTATGGCTAAAATTCCACTAATTTCTCCTGCCAATTTGGTGGCTAAGCAGCTGTAAGAAGAAATAACACGCTACCAAAAAAAATCCGGTACACAAAAATTTATAATTTTAATGGATATTTTTATAATTTTTGTTAATTATTTTATAATTAAAAAATTTATCATCTTTTTGAGTATTTTTGAGATGAGGATTCTCTGTTGTTAGAAAATTAACAGCAGATATGATGTTAATTAAAATAACGTCATTTTGGTACAAAACAATGCTGTTTTAATCAACAACTTATTTGCTATAAAAATAAATAGCAGAGGAGTAGGACTCGTGTTTTTACAGTTTTTTTTATCACATTATGGTAACTATATATTTTTAACATTTTTTTCGTTAAAAAATTATTATTTTTCAAAATAATTTATCACATTTGTTGGTGTTTTTGTCATTGTAATAACTATTTTTTTTAGTATCACGCGGTAAAAACGCCAACAACCATAGCAAATATCTTTACAGTGACAATTTTATTTTTATTTTTTTTGTACCATAGACAACTCTTCGAAGGGTTGAGAGAGAGTGGCAAACCAATCTATCAACGTATCCATCGAAGTTAGGACAAATTATAAGGGATGTTTTTGTAATATTCTGTTTTCATATAATATTTTTGAGGTACTAGGTTCGCTTTCTCGTACAACTGACCATGCTGCAACTCAAACAATAATTATGATTTTATGTATCCCTCGTACCTAACAACGCTCACCGATATATTTTACTATATATTTTCAGTAATTTAATCATTAAATTAAAATTAAATTATAAAAATTTACATACATGATATATTTTTAGAATAATATTTATTTTAATTATTTATTATTTATAATCATTAATTCTAAAAAATTAATAGAATAAGATAAATATTAAATTGAACACTATTCAGGGAGTTGGTAACTCAAACCTAACGTTGAGTAAATGGAAATTCAGGGACAGTGAGAAATTTAAGAGTGGCAAACATGACGGGTACGAGGGTACAAAAATCCATAATTATTGTTTGTGTTGGGCCATGGTCCGTTGTACGGAAAAGCAGACCTACTATATTGAAAACAGTAAGTTTTATAATAACATCCCATATTATTTATACTAATTGCAATTTATACCCTCATCTTTTTCAAAACTATTTGACAGCGTCTGCCAATTTTATATTATGCTAAGGAAAACTTTGTTTGAAGGAACGGTGCAACGTAAGTAAAAAATTATGAATTTAGAGAGGGGGATAAATTTAATTGAATATTTTTAAGAGAAAAATTAATGGTCATTGAATAAATTTATTTAAGACCATCAGATTAACTTATAAAAACTTATCCTATTTTATATTATATATTTCTAGAGAAGACTAGACACTAAAAATTGTTATGTTAGACAAACATGCTGGGTTTTTTCTTTTTTTTTTTTTTAAGTTTTTGATAAAGTGACAAATGACAACTTTTGTTGAAATTGATTATGTATACTACTCGACCTTGTCAAGTTATACATTAAACCCATACAGATTTCTCCTTAGCTTGGAGAGAAGAATAATGGGGCTTTGTTTTGTCAGCATTGGCTGAGGTCAAGAAGCACCGATCCAGATAAATGATATGAGTATAATATGATATGGATATAATAATATAATAAATTTTTTTAAAAAAAGAATATAAGTATGATTATAATACGTCTATAATAACATATAAAATATATTTTATTATTATTTAACTATTTAAAAATTATAACTTTCAATAATTTTTTAACGGTAATAAACAAAATAATGAATGTTTGCCTTGGAAATAATGTAATATTGCCTTGTTATGATATATCCACAAAATGTTGTTTGTGTTCTATGTGAACTCGAAAGAAAAATATATATATTAAAATTAAAAATTACATATCTTACTATATATTTAGAAATATTCACGACATATATTTGATATGTATAATTAAATATTTAACGAGTATCGTTCTGATATGAATACGTTAAGTGATTAATAGACTTGAGGGATTTACTCATTCCAAGCCACAGAAGTCAACCCAACCAATAAGTTGGCTCCAAAAAAAACCCGACCCATGAGCATTATAAAATTTTAAAATTAGATTCTATTATTTTTACTTAACAAAAAAACCCAATTATGACTCGTTGAAAGACCCACCGAGGCCCAAAATTGCCAATTCGATGAGGAGAACAGACTGCTCTTTCTTTAAACAGGCTAGCTTGACTTGATTTGTTAACAATCAACGATCAAGAAATGTCACCCACCGTTGAGGAAGACTTTGATCGTGGACCGATTCGGCATACACTCTTTGAAACTGACTTTTACTTGATCCGAATCAGATGAATCTTCGGTACTTTTTGCTCCAAAATTTAATTTTAATGGATTTTAAAAAAAAATTGTGGGTAGTTTTTCAATAAAAATTTATTGTTCTTGTAAATGATTTATGACTTTTGTAAATATTTATACCACTGTTACAATAATCATATTTATCACTTTTGTGATACTTTTAATCAATTTTAACATTTGTGGGTGATTTATTTGTAAGATCGATCATAAGTAGTATAAAAATAATTACCACAATAATAATAAAAACACACGTACAAATAATAAAAATACCAGAAAAAAATAATAAATATAATAAAATATCAAACTTTTTTTTTTGTTTTACCGTAGATCAGGTATGAGCTCATATGAAAAAAAAAAAAGCCAAATATGTGATGGGCCACTAGGTACATTGATTTGACACAATCTAGGTACATTGATTTGACATTTTTAGTGTTATATCAAACTACTTTGCCACTATACATACGAGAAATTACGGTCACTGTTTATCCACTTGAATAAATTCTTAGCACAAGTAGGTCAACAGCGTGAAGTTGGACCCCAATTTTATTTTGTTAGTTGTTATTTAGGATTATAACGACTGCTAAAATTATGAGTTTATTGGTTGATTACTATGGTTTGATTTGAGTTGAGATAAAACATGTTTATTTATAGATAAAAATAACTAATTCTTAAATGGTGTAAAAAAAAATTAAACTAAAATTTTTAGTAATCAAATGTCAAACTCAATCACTACATCATTCATAACTAAGTTTAAGTTGGACTTGAATTAATTATAAATTCAGACGTCTTATGTTTAATTCTTGCTAATGTCTCTCGAATTGAATTGATACTTGTAATTTATAAATGTTTGCACTATTTGAGGTTTCTTTTTTTTTTTTAACAATGTTCCATAATCAAAATTTGTAACCAAATTTGCATTTTAAATAAATGAACAACTGAATCAGTGAGTCCTATTTAAAAAAATTGATAATATCTATTAATCTAATGATCTCCTTCACCTGAAATGAAAATTTAAGTTACAAATTTAAATTATATAGTATTTTCCTTTTTATTTTTTTAAAGAAAAAACCTCTTATCCTTTACTCTCATTTGCTCTCTCTCTGTACACCATTGGTGACTTTATATTCAGTGGCCTGGCAATTGACCAATCCACATACCTCTCACTTGTGCAGTTTGCAAATTCTGAGAGCTATTAATTTTAGGTGCTATGGATTCTTTTCTTGAGCTCCTTACTCTATTATTGTAGGTGTTTTCTGCTTTCTCTCTCTAGGGTTGGTACTGTGTTTTTTATTCCCCTGATTTGGTAACATACCATTCATTCTCTTCTTTCTTTTTACACCCCAAGCATTGTACTAAGTTTCTGTCTCTATAAAAATGTATAGATATTCTTTCTCTAACATGTAGAAAAATACATTTTAATACCTATGGTGATTCAGAGAAAAGGGTTGGTTTCAGATTTTTTGTTTATTAAAAAAGATGTACAGTTTTTCTTGTTCTTATACTCAATAAACATGATTTCTTCAACTTTCAACCTTTTAGCTGATACTGTGGTTGATTTTCTGGGTTTAGGGTTGCCACTTGATGTTTTTGAGGTAGTGAAAATGGTGAGGCAAAGGATTGAGATCAGGAAGATCGATAACTTGACGGCCAGGCAGGTGACCTTCTCAAAGAGACGAAAAGGGCTTTTCAAGAAGGCTAAAGAGCTCTCAGTTCTCTGTGATGCCGAAGTAGCTCTCGTTGTTTTCTCTGCAACTGGAAAACTCTTCGAGTATGCCAGCTCAAGGTCTCTCTCTCCCTCTCTCTCTTTATATATATAATCATCAATATGCATACATAAATTTATGTATATTTTAATTTATATATATTTGTTCAGATAGAAAGCACTCTTCTGGTGTAGATTTTCTGTAATCTCTTTTGCTACGAAGTCTTCTTGATTATTTGAAATCACTCTACACCCTTTCTTTACTAGTCTGCATACAACTTCAACAAAACATGACATAAAAAATGGGGAGGGAGGGAGAGAGAAGAGAGAGAGAGAGAGAGAGAGAGAGAGAGAGAGAGAGAGAGAGAGGTGTTCCTAGACGTCATATGGTCCAAGATGAAGTGGGATTTGGGAAAACAAGATGAATGGCGGGAGAATACTTTTTCATGCCCTTTCTGTCCTATCTTCTTGAGCTTTGTCTCTGTGTTTTGTATGTGTGGAGAGAGAGAGAGAGAGATTAGTGCATTTCCCTCTCTGATTTTGTCAATCGGAAATTACGGTTGTATTTTTTAACAGTATAACGGAAAATGAAAGGACAAATTGTTGTTTAAAATGGCCAGTTGAAAGCATCTACTCAGCTCTCGATTTTTTTGTTTAGTTTTGTTTTTTGTAATCATTTGCTCATCTTGTTTGCTCTGAAAACAAAGGATCTATAAGGTGAGAGATCTCTTCGTCCCCTAATCTCCACTTAATTAGTTGAAAAATCAAAAGAAAGAATTGTAAGGGTTTCATGTTTGTTGCTGTTTAGCTTCTTCAGAAAACCTAGCCTTTGAAAAAAACTTAATAAGGGTACAATATGAGAAATAAAGAGAAATGGAGAGGGAAAGATTACACTCCCTAGTAAAAGGGCAGTGATCCAAACAAAAATGTATGAGCACCTATAACTGGTTTTTATAGATCAAAAAACTGGTTCTTGCATGAGCCTCTTCAACATTCTTGTATTGGTAAAAACTGGTTTTATAGATTAAAAAATTGGATATACAACATTGTTTAGGACATATCTTAAGCCTCCCAAGTTAAGCTTTCTATAGAGATATTCGAGATGCAAACAATCTAATTTGAAAGAGAATACTATTGCAATCCTGACAATAAAGAGTTACCCCTCCCACATTCTGGGAGGAGAGGATATATGTCTTTGATTTATTCTTTAAAATTTAAACAATTTTATTCCCCTTAGCCTGCCTAAAATTTTGTATTATAAAACATATTTGGTAAATTGGCTCACTAAATTTCTCATTTCCATGAACTATTACATCACTTTTAAGAGTAGTTCAATGCAAGATGGCATTTGTATAGTCATTACTATGCCTTTTTCTAGCTTTTAATTTTTGAAATCCCTCATCTTCGCTTGTGATTTTACTAAAGTCCATTGCATATGTTCTCTTAATTATTCATGTTTAACGTAAAACTTGTGCATTCTAAATAATCCCTATAAGCGTTTTGGCATGTAATTTCCCTATTCATGGTCATAATATAGATACTAGCCACATACAAGAAGGAACATATTTTTTTCAACATAAAAATGCCTTATTGCCAAATAAGGACCTAACGGAAGCACTTGATGCAAACGATTCATTATGGAAATTTACTTCACACAACAAAATTGAAGAATTAATGGTGGAACAAGTTCAAATGTATGAGTGGTGCAAGCTTGAAGAATTGGATTGTCTACCTTGTAATTTGCAATAGCATTAGTAATTATCATAGACGAGAGAGCAACTAGGCATGTGGTGGTTAAGAAAAGGAGGAAATAGAATACGTTCAACCCTTTGGTTCCTTTGTTAGGTACAACCATCCTCCGGAGGGCATGTCAATGATTAAAATCTAGTGGACACAACTCTCTACTAGCTTGATTAAGCTTTTACTTAACTACTTACAGTTAGCTGGTAGTTTTTATTGCAAGGGACTTCTCTAGTCATGCCCAAAGATCACCAAGGTCATCTTCTTCGCATATTTTACATTGTTTAGTTTTTGCATGTTAGACCTAGTCTTTGTGAGCTTAATTGTTCTTATTACTTCTTGTTATTCCCATATATCTGGGCCCTTTACTTGTTAATGGAGGTTTCAAGTGAAGTACCTTTTAGGAGTTTTAGCCCTTATCTTCTTGTGTTTAATCATTCTTTTCTTTGTGTTCTTGATCTTTAAGGAAACTATTGTCCTTGAAATCCCCATTTCAATATCAAAGGAGTTACTTATGCTTTCACACTTGAGTTGTTTTCTATTGCTCTCTTTCCATTTGGATGTTTGCTAGTAGACTAGACAGGGCCTTCCATATCAATGGATGTTTGCATTAAATGAAAAATCATTTAAGTGCATCAAAGAGGAAGTAATAGTTTCACCCATTTTTCTTTTTCCTTCTTCCTCTTCTCCCTGTAGCTACCTTTCTTTAAGAACGAAGGGCACAATTGACAAAGTGCAAATGACCAAATTGAGCAAAACATTAAAACCATTTTCTTGAATTGACGGAGTGAATGATATTTCATCTTAAAGCTTAGACTGCCCATGCTAACATATGATTGGCATTGGTATAGTGCAATTCAATTTCCCCTAGTGCTGCATGAAAACTCCCCAAATCGTATAACAAGTATATGTAACTAATAACTGGAGTAATGAAATAAAATTATCAGATTTTTGAACTTATTTTATTCTTCGTAGAAGTTTGTGCTAGTTAACATAGATGAGTGAACTTGAGTTCAGCATAGTAAGATCTAAGCATGAATTTGCTACTTGAGTTTAAGCACAAGTTTCATTTCACCGACAGGGAAAGAGTTGTGCTTTGGGGTTCTTAATGAGATGTTATGTCCTCTTCATAATTTCCGACAATTTTGTTCTTTGCCCTTCTTTGTCTCTCACCAGCCCACCACCAAAAACACCCATCTTGACTCTCTTTCCTGTTTTCTTACTCAGCATGCTTAGGGTTTGTTACATCTATCTGCATTTACACCTTTGAATTCACAATCCTTCTCCAGAAGGTACCCTCTTTTTTTCTTTTCCTTGATTCAGGTTTTCTTTTTCAGATACGATTTTGTTTCTTATTCTCAACATTGTCATGTATTTAAGGATTGTATACCTTCGGTTTCTTAATCATTCTATTACATTCTATGTTATGTCTCTCATAATCTAATTATTTGTCTGGATTAGATGCTAAAAGATTGTTTTTTTTTAATCTATGTTGTACTCGAAAAGAAGGCTTATTTCATAATCGAGTTCTCTTTGTGTTTCTTATAACGGATTGCCATATCAAGAGAGGGCTCTTCAGTTTGATATATGTGATTATGAAATAACAAGTTCTGGATTGACTTTGGGCAATTTCTTAAAAAGGGTATCTGTGCTAAGCTGCATTGCTCAATTTAGTTAAATACTTTCTTTGAACTTGTGATGACATTCGATAATCGAAGCCCGAAATGTTTTGCTTACTTTTCCAAGTTATTGTGATTTCGTTATGATTAACAATTGATCTATCAAACATTAAATTCCAAATGTTAGCTGTTCTCTGAGGTACTTGTCTTTGGCATCCTACACTGGGAAGCTAATTTTTAGGTGCTCATGTCCGTTATGGATTTAAGAAACGTGGACAGCGTGTTATACTAACGAAGGTTGAATGTTTTGATCACTTGAGATGCTGTTGACCATGTTTCCCCTAGAACTCTCTGTCCTTTATGTAGTAATTATTTTTGTAGCGGTGGCGGTTAGTATGAAGCCAGAGTTTTTCACTTTTTCTTTCAATTCCCGCCAAAACTTCCTTATATGTTTCAATCCCAACTCGCAACACAAAGTGAAAGATTACAAGAAATGGATCTAACCCATCAAGTATCGGGTCAGGTTTATGTTGCACAACAGCTTTGTGTCAGCAACAGCTTGAACCTAACCCGACAAAAATGGAAGAAAAAAAAATGAGCCACAAGTTGTGAGATACCAACACACTAGTAATGTATGATAATAAATGGTTTCAAGATGACATCATCGTGCATCTTTCCTATTTATTGACAAACAACTAGCATTATTAATCATTTGCAATACATTAGTGAAAATTCTGGTCAGTTTCTGAAATTTTTCATGGTTACAGTGTGTGCATTCTCTCTTTCTGGTGTTTGATTTTTTTTTTCTCAAGAATAGCCCCAAGTTCTACTTCAAGCCTCAATTACATTCATTTCCAGGAATCATCTATTTGATTTTGTGCTGTGAAACTGGTTGCTCTAAGCTCGCTCGTAAAAAATTTCAGCTTGTTTAATTACACTGTGATAAATGATGATGAATAATTGTGATGTGGTTTCCTTTTATCTTTTATTGAGGGCTGATTCTTTGGATCTTCTGTTATTCATTTAGTTCCTCCATACGGGCGGTTCATACAAGATAGAGCAAATGATCAATTTATCATATCTCAGGGCATTGAAATTTTTACTATTGCCCCCATATTTATTGTGTGTAGCCTTTAATCTTGTGGGTTGCGTTTATTGAATGTTGGCCTCATAAGTTAACAAAAATGATTATTATAATGGTAGATGCAATGCGTTTTGTCTTTTTAATGCTCGAATTTATACTTATAGAATTTAATCATTGAGTTATTTCTCGTTTTACCCATGCATTAGATGATTGTTGCCAGCTATTGAAGCATGGTGTTTCTTTTGTATCGATTTACTTTTTTCCAAAGCTTTCCCTCTAGGTGGTTTTACCTTATTATATATTGTATGGTAAGATGAGATGGCAGCTGTTGTGAGGCTTCAAATCTTTGTTTCTGATTTTATGATCAGGGAGATTTAATTTTTATTCTATATGGTAGGAGATTTTCTACCAGCTCTTGACGGATCTTCTTTTTGAATTATGTTTATAGTATGTGGATGTTCTAGACTGTGTTTGTGCTGGTCACAGCTGTATTTCTAATGCTCATTGATTGGGCATTGCTTCATCACGACTATTTGGGAATTTGTGCTGAAACTTCCAATAGGTAGGCCAACCTCAGGAGATCGCATTGACTTGTTGAAATTAGCAATGATATTGGGGTGCAATTGATTGTGTGGTGCCGTTGCTTTGAAACATCACTCTGATGTTTACTGACGATGTAATGTGTAACCACCCGGCTTTATTTGCAAATGAATGTTTAAGGTTGCATATTAC